TGGTCCCTCTGAACTATTTTCTAATGATCTTCAGTGACATTTCCTCTTAAGAGGACCTGGACTGTGCCAGCAAAGCCTCAGGATTCCCAATAGTTCTGCCTCTTCCTGTAGTTTGTCACCCCTGGTTTCCTCGGGAGTTGGACGAGCCTGAGAGGAGTAAAAACGAGACTCGTCCTTGGACGAGCGCAGCTTTCTGACAGATTCTTGTTTACAGGAAGAGACAAAATGTTTGGACTGAAGTTTTATTGCGTTTGTGTGCTTCGTGTGTCGCTGTCTTCGTGTCAGATGGTCGGTGTCGGAGTGGTCAAAGTGCTCGGCCTCATGCGGCGCCGGCCAGAAGTGGCGGTGGGTCACGTGTCAGCAGCTCGACGCCGGAGGTGCAGCGAGAACGCTGCCGGCGGCCGCCTGCAAGGGGACGAGTCGGCCGGTGGACACGGAGCCGTGCTCCGCCAATAACTGCCCCGTGTGGGTGACCAGTCCGTGGGGGAAGGTAGAGTCAGACGTTTACTCAGACACGTTACACGGTGTTGGAAAGTCGCCTTCAGCTGTGACTGTTTGAATCGTAGTGCTCGGGGAGGTGTTTGGGCCCCACCACCACCGTGCAGAAGAGATCGGTCGTCTGCCAGCACGCCAACGGCTCCTCCTACACAGACTGTGACCTCCGGAGCAGGTACGCACGCGCTCAGACACGAAATGACTCTTTCATATAAAACTGAAATGATGAAAAGATGAAGAACAAATAAACACGATAAAATGACACCGTCAGAATTGATCACCAATCCCATCAATAACTCCCAAATCTTCTCTCTTTCAGACCGGTGTCCGTGCGCAACTGTTCCTCTGACCTCTGCAATGTTCAGTGGCGTCCCGGTGCGTGGCGAGCGTGCACCGTGGTCTGTGGGAGTGGCTTCCAGTCCCGCAGGGTGGACTGCGTTCACAGCAAGACCGGCAGGACTCTGGCCGACCAGCACTGCGCCTGGCTCCAGCGACCCTCCACCTGGCAGCACTGCAACACCGCCACCTGCGGGAGTAAGTCTGCGCCGCGTCCTGCGCTCTTTAGGCGAAGCCATTAAATACGTAAAGCTACAGCTGACCTGCGGCGTGTGCGATCGGCCACGTTGGACTTTAACTTTGTTTTATTCAAACCACTAAAAAACCCTGAAGGTTTATTAAAGTTTCATGTAAAAGTTTATGCAGATGAATTTCACCGTTTTGGGCTTCGGGCGCTGCACAGTCAGGCTGGTTGGAGTTAACTGAAACTGAACCACCGAGTTCTGAATGACAATCAATAAATGTTAATTCAGCGGCGCCGTCGCTCCTCGTACGTCACGACATCCTGAACGTGGGCCGTGCTGTCAGTGTCACAGTAAAGACTTAATGTTTTATTCAGTGTGACTGAGAGTCGCTGAGAGCTGGCTTCACCTTTCAGTCCCAGAAGCTGCTTCCATCTTTATACAGTCTTGTAAACTTCCACCAGGAGCATGATGGGA